GCCGAATGCCGGGGGCGATAGGGATGTTCTTGAAAACCCATGGGATGTGCTCGACGGTTGGGATCAGGATCGGGTCAAAGTAGTCCGCAGAGAACCGCCCTTTCTCCGATTCGTCCCAAGCCACGGCTTCTTCGTTCACGCGCAGGACCCAGTGTGCGAGACGCTCTTCCTCTGGCCAGAGGAAACCGTCGGAGTTGAGCTGCTGGGCTTCGTATCGCTCCTGGGTGTAGCGCTCGCCAGGTTCGAAAGGAGGCGGGTGGGTCGGCAGAGGTTGCATAGTTGCCAAGATGTCGAGAGCGTGTCGCCGGACGATGCGAAATTGTTCCGGGAGGATGGCGGAGACTGGCTTCACACGGCGTGCCACGGGTTTGTATTTGGCGCCAAAAGCGGATGTGTCAGGAAGCGGAGAGGCATGCGCAAAATTCAGAAGTTCCAGTTCGAAGATTGTAGCCCGAGACGAGAAACCGGCGATGAGCGGCGATGATGGAGGGCAAGGAGAGTTGAGATGAGAGGACAAAAATGAGAAAGCGGAAGAATCATAGAGTGGAAGGCGAGTAGCGCTGATTAGGGCGGATGAGCATGTTGCGTCTCGTCGAGTGGGTCTCGGTTCATCGACTGCTAAAAATCCTCGGAATGCGGGCGCCGGGGAACACTTCGCTCGTGCGTAGGGATCTGAACGCGCCGCCGCGATACTGGGTCAGTGATTGTGATGTATTGATTGCCATCGGGGAAGTCCTGAGTTATGCAGCTTGCAAACGTGTGGAAGGCACGACCCATGAGCACTTCCCAGGGCGCCTCCGGTACGACCTGGACCTGGAGATTGAAGGTGAGGCCGCCGATCTCGAACGGGACATCCTTGAGTGATCCACAGGACTGCGTTGTGGTATTGTTGGCAACCTCGATTGTGATCCGGTCGTCCACGTTGAGTGGCCATTTCAGCTGTTCCCAAACGTCTTGACGCATCGCGACCATCTCGCATCCCGTATCGAGGATGCACTCGGGCTGGATTGTGCCGCCTACAACCGGACGAATTGTGCGTAGGCGACAGTTACTTGCTGAGGCTGGTACCGGGCGCGGAGAGTCGACATCGGCAAAGTGCGCGGAAGATGTTTGTGAGAAGTCATTGGTCGACGTAGAAGGTGCTGGCGTTGTCGAAGAGTCGAGCTGTGTGCGCTTCGTCGAGATGTGACGGCTGAGTTCCTTCCGAACGTCGGGACTGACTGCGAGCAAGTGACGGGGTGACACCAGTAGCGGTTGATCGAGGAGTTGCTTGACGAGATTAGGCGCGTTTGCATCATTTTCAATGGGCGCTTGGTATCGGAACTGAGGAGCAGTCGGCGGTGCGCGAGGTACGTGCACTGAGGGTCCGTTCGGCTGGTAAGGCTGAGCTGGCGGGCGCGGTCCTGGAGCTGGCACGGCGACGGGAGGAGCAGGCGTTTCGCTAGGCTTGCTAGAGGTGGACTTCGCGCTGTCGTCCGAAAAGCGGACCTCCTTTTTCTGGCTAAGGCGACTGGATGTCCTCCTCGGTGCCTTGACGCCGTCTGCGACTTGCTGCTTGCGCGCCTCCAAAGCAGCCTCGAAAATCTGAACACACGGATCGGAGGAAGGGAGGTGCTCGAGTTGCGCACGCAGGAGGTCTTGAACCGGGTCGTCGTCTTCATCAATGATCTCTTCAATGCGCGCACCTTCGAAAGCGGGAGTAGGGGTGGCCGGCAACGTTACTCCCTCATTAAACGCCGCCAGCTTGCCAAAAAAATGCGAGGCCATGTGCGGGGGGTCGTCGCGTTGCCCTCCCCGAAGATCCGATGCCGTGCTGCCAGGGTAGAGTGCGTGGAACTTCTCGAACCTTTCTTTCATTGTCGGCGCTTCGACATGCCGCGGGAGGAATTGTCCGTTCGGTAGCGTGAAGCGCCCCGCTTCGTTTCGTATAGCCTTCCCGGTGCGGACGAGTTCGTGACCATCTGGGCATGAGCTGACTCGGCAGCCGGGCTTGCCGCACATGTGGCAGTCATTGGAGTACGGACGAGAGGCGAGAGGCGGCTGCGATGCCGGGTGGTGGGCGGTAGGGGCTGTAACCGGGACTTGAGCGGACGAGGTGCGCGTGTTCTGTTGAGCTGCGAGCGCCGCGCTGATGTAGTACTGGATATCCTCAACTTTGATCATACCGGCAGGCGCTGCGATTGTAGCTGAGGGCGAAGCCGCCGGTGAAATCCCCCGCGGATATTCCGCAGCAGGCGTGGGAAAATGTGTCCGAGGCAATTCCGCAGCGAAGACAGCACCCTGCCGCGCCGATAGGAGATGGTCAGCTTGCGCAAAGACTTTGTCGCGCGGGATAGCCTCATTCGGGTTCTGAGATGGGTGTAGTACCGCCAGTTGGAAGTCGAGTCGTTCGCGCAAGGGACCGGTGAAGCCGTCGATGAATAGAAAGTTCGCCTCGTTCTCGGAGAGCCAGAGCTTCTTGATGAGGTACTGAGCTATGCCTTTGAAGTCGCGGTAGTATGATCCGAGCTCGTTACGCAAAGAGATGGGACTCGCCGCGCGTGCAGAGACGATGCGCCGCAGGTCTTCGCGCGACCACTGAGCTTCGGGCTTCGAACCCGGGTACATCTCGAAGATGGCAGTCTTGAGCGCGGCGTAGTCCTTCGCGTCATAAGCCGATTCCATCTTCCATGTGCTGGCAGGCTTGGCGGTGGCATAGCGCACGACGTGGCGGACCTTTTCGGCGTCGTCCGCAATCTTGCACGAGAGGAAGAGCTCTTCAAGCTCCTCAAAGTATCGGCCGAGCTCCGCCGGGTCGTCGTCGAAGGTTGGCGCCGAGGCGCTTCCGCGTGGAGGCATGGTCGGGTCGGGCATGGTGTCCGCAGGAGAGTCAGGGTTGTTAGGAGGTTCTGGTGGCGTGTAAGAGGTGGTATCGTTAAAGTCGACAGTAGCTTCGTCGTCTAGGCGGGTCCAAGGGGGATACGAGAAGTGGGTGGAGGGATCGGGGTCGAGATCGCGTTCTTCAGAGGCGCGTAGTAGTTGTTCGTGGAGCGTAGGTGCCGAGGTAGTGGTAGTTTTGATAAACCGTCCTCGGGAGTCCCGAGGGAGATATGCTTTAGCGGGTTTCTTGGGCGGCACGATGATCAGAGACCCTCGCGGTGGGCTCCAGTTGTAGGTCGGTGAATCGGGGGTGAGTCCGAGAGACCTGAGGTGTCGTGTCCGGTCGGCGACCAGAGGCGGATGCACAACCGACGGGCGAGGATGATCGGGGTGCCGGAGGGCGAGAGATTGAGGAGAGTTTGTCGCAGGGGAGTATCACAGACGCAGTCGCAGTCGCAGACGCAGACGCAGGGGCAGACACGGTATAGACACAATGGGGGGATGTAGACTTATGGCTTCGGGTTCGCAATGATGCTGAGAGGGCTCGAGGAAACTAGGTTGCTGCTACTTAGTACATGGAGGGACTGTATTTATACTCATCGCGACTGTCGTGGCCAGCGTTGCATACAACGCTCCCCTCTCGCTCCATCGTGGCCTTGACCTCCTCGTCCGCTGGGTGCATTGTCGTACGTG